TGCGCGCAGGTGACCAGGCCGCGGGAAGCCTCCCTCCTGCCCTCGGCCTCCTGCGGCTCTCCGCGGTCTGAGGAGGTTTGCTTCCAGAAGCGAGAGGCAGAGTCCAAGCTTTTCCGGCACAACCCACATTTGGAAATGGCGCAAGCCGCGCGCTTGTCCTGACCTTGTTCCCGAGCTGCTGAGCTCCTGCACGGCAGCTTTGCAGGTCTCCACGGCCTGGGCGGCGCGCGGCTGCACCCGCCAGCGCCAGGCCGGGTTCGTGCATGTGCCCACCTGAGGGATATGCTTCCCAGGCAACACCTCTGGTTTGAGCCACCTGCCCTGGCGCCCAGTGTGGATTGGCACCTACCTCACCTTGTTCTTGACCACCCCTGGGAGCAGCCTCGGCTGGTTCTCGGTGGCCTCCCTCAGAGGCCTCTTCCTCTGTGACTTTAAGCAAAGGTTGGAGGTTCTCTGAGCCTCAGTGACTCCTTGGCATCAAGGGACCTCGAGGGAAGCCCGCCTGCTCCGCAGCACTAGGGCTCAGCACCGGCCTGCACATGATGACTACCATTGCATTGGAGACGTTTCTTTTTAGAGATTTATTTTTTTATTTATGCATACAAGAACTGGGGCGTAGGCCAGAGGTGCAGGGGAAGGTGGTGGTGAGAGGATTCACCAGAGACAGAGTGGGGAGCAGAACAGGCGGATCTACTGAAATACACTGCTGAGGGGAGCAGCTAGCGAGCCAGGAGAGGTCTGCTGCGCCATGTGGGTACCTCCCTGGCTGGGGATTGAACTCAGGCTGCAGTGGCTGGTCATAGCTTGATAGTGCTGAGACTTTAACCCCTGCCCCACAGGGATACCCTAAAGGCTTTTCTAATTATTGTTAATTAGGAATTATCCACAGCTCCTCATTTCCCTCCCCACTTTTTATAACCCAGACCTGGGTGTTATTTGGCTTCTGGATTCTTTTTTGAACTATGACTTATGCAGTCTTTTGGACTTAGGTGGTCCTCCTTAGTGCATATCCAAGTAACTTTTGTTAGGTTGGTTGCAACATAGTTTATGTACACCCAACCAAGAGGTGATGTTTCTAAATGTACACAGTAGTGCCACTTCGGCCACACACACGTTTTAGACACTTTTTTTAAAAAAAAAGTTTAACATTTTTTATTTATACAATAGCTGGGGCACAGGCCAGAGGTGCAGGAGGGTGAGAGGATTCACCAGAGACAAAGCAGGGAGCAGAACAGGCAGACTGATGAAATACACTGCTGAGGGGAGCAGCGGGCGAGACGGGAGAGGTCTGCTGCACCGTGTGGGAATCTCCCTGGCCAGCCAGGAATTGAACCTGCGTTGCAGAGGCTGCGGAGAACTTCACAGCACTGCACTCAACCCGCTGCGCCACCAGGGATCATCATGATGCCCCGTGGGCCTGTTTGCAGTCACAGTCACGCCCCATCTCCCCTCCACCCCAGCTCCAGCCACCACGGACCTGCTTTCTGTTTTTGGTTTCCTAGATTTGTCATATAAATGGAATATGTGGTCTTTTGTGCACTTTTTAAAAATACCCCGGGCAGGCCCCACCCCAGACTAACAACCCAATCTCCAAAGCGACACTCCTAGTCTGTCTGTTTTTCCTTTCACTTAGCATAATGCTTTCTTTTATCCACTGTTGGAACTTTATTCCTTTTTATTGCTAAGTAGTTACAGCGTAATTTTTCTATCCTATTAACTAGATAGGTTGATATTTCTTCTTTAATGGGCAAATGAGTTGGCAAAGTTCTTTAAACAATAGTCGTGTTCACACGCTGGTGTTAGAAAAACTGGATGTTAAGGAATGCAGGTCCAGGGGAGCCAGTGAATTAGGCAGAGGGGCAGACTGACAGCTGGAGACACGTAACGAGCATTCACAGGGGCTTCTCTGTGTGAGGAGTGCCTTGCACTTCTCACTTGTCTCTTTTTTTTCTTGTAATAGCTGACAAGCTAATGACAAAATCCACACGTCATACATATATTGTACCCACTTAAAAAGTGGTATTCAGTGATTTTTCCAATATATTCACAGAGGGATGCAACCACAATGTTAGAGCATCCTTATCACTCCCCAAAGGAACCCCTCACTCCTTAATAGCCACCCTCTGGTTCCTCCCACCCTCAACCCAGACAGCCACCAATCTCTCTCTCTTTTTTTTAAGATTTATCTATCTATGCATACCAGAGCTGGGGCACAGGCCAGAGGTGCTGTGGGTGAGTGGATTCACCAGAGACAGAGTGGAGAACAGAACAGGAAGACTGACTGAAATACACTGCTGAGGGGAGCAGCGGGCGAGACAGAAGAGGTCTGCTGCACCAAGTGGGTTTCTCTCCGGCCAGCTGGGGATTGAACTCGTGTTGCAGAGGCTGCGGATTGCTTCATAATGCGGTGCTAAACCCCTTGTGCCACCAGGGAGGCCCTCTATTTGTAGTTTTTTTTTTTTTTTTTATTTTACAAGATTTATGTATGCACACAAGAGCTGGGGTGTAGGCCAGAGGTGCAGGGAGGGTGAGAGGATTCACCAGAGACCGAGCAGGAAGCAGAACAGGCAGACGGACTGAAATACACTGCTGATGGGGAGCAAAGGGTGAGACAGGAGAGATCTGCTGTGCCATGTGGGTAGCTCCGTGGCCAGCCAGGGATCCAGCCCAGCCCATGCTGCAGAGGCTGTGGATTGCTTCATAGTGTGCTGCTTAACCCCCTGCGCCACCAGGGAGACCCGCAGCTACCAATCTCTTATTCTGGACATTTCACATAAATGGGATCCTGTAATAGACAATCTTGGTGTGACTGGCTTCTTAGCATGTTTGCAAGGCTCACCCATGGCATAGCGTGTGTCAGTAATTCACTCTTTATTGCTGACTAGTATTCCATTGCATGGATCTACTGCTTTTGTTCACTCATCCACGGATGGACATTGGAGATGGTCCCGCTTCTTAGCTGTTAGGAATTATGCTGTGTCATCTGTTTTGTCCCTTTTGCTTTCTACCGTATACAAACTACTGCTTGTAAATTAAAGTTCTGGGGAGAGAAATAGATGTGGGTGACAAAGCACCCTGATACTGAGGAATGCAAGGCGTGCATATCCTCCATGTTAGAACACCCCACAGCCCAGAGTAACCGAGGGTTTACTGTTGTCAGAGATGGAGGTGGGGAGGAAGGTCAGGACGTGGATATCTGTCCTTGCAGGGCTTAAGGGGGGGTCTTGGGGTCCTTCAGACGAGGGTTTGATCCCAGCTCTGTCCCTTGCTGTGTGACCTTGGGAGAGTCACCGAACATCTGAGTTCTTTGCTGATAAAACTTGGGAAAACAACACTTCCTGGCCAGCTGCTGTGATCACGTGAAGAGCTGTTATGCCTCGAGCTCGTAAGGGCAGCCTGTCCTGAGCCATTCTCCACCCCCACCGGGTGCTCTCTGGGTTTACAATATGCGGGTGCCTGTGTCCCACCAGCCATGCGGAGCCCCATTCAGTGAGCCCCCGGGGCAGGAGCCAGCGCTGAGGGGCCATGGGGACCCCGCTCCAGGGCTGAGCAGTTGTAAAAGAGCCCCAGAAGAGTCAATGTTGGGGCCACAGAAGGCCCCCCAGGGAAATGCTGTGAGAGGCATTTTCAGTCAAGGTGATTTATTTACCCAACTTCAGACCAGGGAGCCCTTCCCGCTGCTCTAGGGTCTGTGACGCAGCCCCTCAGGTCTGTCTGCTGCTCCTGCCGGTGAGGGGCTGCAGGAGGTGGAGGGAGGGGCGTCTAACTGCCGAGGAACTGGGAACCCTGGGAATCCAACAGAAAGGAAAAGCCGGTGGACTCTGGTGCAGAGTGGGAGCCTTTTCTTTTTAATCAATAAGCAAACCGCTCCCACAGTTGCCCAACCTGGCGGCAGGAATGTACCCCGGGTTACCGCCCTGGCCCCGGGGAGTGATCAGTTATCCCTGTCTTTAGGCAGGGCTGTGTTTAGGTTGAGGGTTCCGGTCTAACCTTCCAGTTAGGAGCTGGGGCAATAAAACTCCCCCTATTTGGTGTGAAAGCCAGAGGGCCTGGCTGTCACCTTGTTCCTTTCGACGAAACCAAACAAGTTTCCCACCTTCTGTCAGGGCAGGCGTCCCGCCCCCACCTCCGCTGCAGGCCGCCGCCAGCGCTCCCATGAGGTGCTCGTCCCTTTGCTCACTTTCTAAAATGGAATCGAGATGAGATTCCCGGCCTGCTCGTTCCACGCTAGGGAACTGAAGCCAAGCCGGGGTCTCAGGTGGGCGGCGCAGCCCCCCCACTCCCCAGGGGTCAGCAGAGCCCCGTACAGGCAGGAAAGTGGAGCTCAACGGGCCAGGCTTTCTCGGGGCTGTTTCTCAGTCATCCCGGGAGGCCTGGAAAGGAAAAGGACTTAAGACTGACTTCTGGTCGGCCTTGTTCTTGAGGAGGGCGTGGGGCCTGGGAGGCCTCTGGCCTTGTAAAGCAGGGGAGCAGGAGCCAGGCTGTGCTCAGGCCCCGGGACCCGGCTGCAGGAGGCGAGGCAGGGAGCATCGGCTGTGTCTGCAGCACCGGGGCAGGGCCCAGCACCCAGTAGGTGCTGAGTGGGCTTTGGGCACCCCCCCATCTTCCCACTGCCTTGCTTTGACCTGCAGCCAGAAGCGAGAAGCCTCTTCAAATGCCCCTTCTGAGGTCTTCCCTAAGGCCTGAGGCCCGGGGAGAAGCCCCTTACCTGCTTGTTTTCCTGTTACACTTTTAGTCCCGACACATGAACTTCTTTAATTATCTCCTCTTCTGGAATGTTAGCCCCACGGGGGCAGGGGCTGCCTAGGGGCCCCTCGGGCGACATTTCCCAGGCCTTAGAAAGATGCCTGGGCAGGAGGAGGAGCCCAGTAATAGCAGCTGAAGAAAGACTCTTTGAAGCAGCCGCTGGAGGAGGATGAGGGAGGGCTTGTGCGCGGAAACAGACCCCCAAAGGGGTGGGTTGTCTCCCGCGCCTCGTGGCCTGTAAGAAGCAGAGCTCAGAGCAGTTGCCTCCCCGCCTGCAGAGGCCTGGACTTAATTTTCTTTCATCTGCAACCTCACTGTGCCCTCCCTGTGCCTGCTGCCTCGCTCTCCGCCCCAGTCAGTGCCAGTCATAGATAAGGAAGGACGGGAAGAGGACTTTGCTCCCTGCCACCCGTCCAGGCCGTGTTCACCTACCACCTGCCGTCGGGGTACACAGTACTAAAAGGCAGAGACCGCCGCTAGATTATTTGGCACCGGAACATTTTTTTTGAAGACTGGGAGGAAGGATTTGATGAATTTCATGAAAGTAAATTCCCTTCCTGGGACCCATGGGCGCTGCCTGTCCACAAGGGAGATTTCATGGGGTACCGGGACCCCAGCCAAGGCCCCGAGACCACATCACACAGGCTTTGTGGCCACAACGTCTGAGTTAGACAACACGATCTTCCAAGCTGTTTGTCTTTCCCAGAAAAATGTTTGGGTTTTAAGCTGCCCGATAAGAGGGACTCTGGCTACTGTGACGTGGTGACCTAAAGCAGAACCTTCCTGAACCTGAAGGTTAAAACTTCCTCCTTCACTTGGCTGCCTGGCCATCGGGATTTTCTGAAACCTGGATCTGCAGACCCAGCCTCCCTCCCAGGAGAGGGGCCGTGAGCGTGTGGAGGGGGCTGGAGGAAGGGGCCTGGCTCCTGCTCTCCCTCTAGTCACGCTCCAGCCGTCCCCTTGATCGGCCTGAACTGACTTGCCAGCTTCCATTCAACCTGAGTCACCCCCGGCTTCATCGGTGTGGGCTGGGCCTGGCCTGGCGGTTACGTCCTGACTGTGGCTTCGGTGACCACAGGCTCTGTCGCTTCACAGCTGTGTGGTTTGGCCAAGTTCTCCTCAGAGGCCTTCTGAGCCTTAGTTTCCTCCTTTATGAACAGGGCTCCTGAATGGTGCTGCTGAGGGCCGCTGGGGCTCTGGAGGCTGTTAGCAGCGTGGTCCACGGCACCGGCGCATTCTCAGAGCTAAAAAGATGCAACTCGAGTCTCCTCAGTGTCCCCAAAGGTAGAAATACTGATCGGCCTTCCCTCCGTTTTTTTTTTTTTTTAACATGAAATTGAATTTTCTGAGCATGGGTGCGCAACGAACATGTGATGGTGAGTGTTTCACGGACACCCTTCAAAGGGGAGGACCTTCCAGAATCCTTCGCCCAGTGCCGGGTGAGCAGGTGGCGGTTAGGGCTTTGGGGCCGGCCCGCGCCGCAGAAAGACTCCTGCCGCCTTCGTGATGCACGCCTGGCGCCCCAGGACGCCTCTCGCCCATCTTTGTCATCCTCAGCATTGAGGCCAGAGACCAAAGCCCGTGGTTTGGGGGTACGCCATGGCGGCAGGACCCCCAGGAGCCTCAGAAGTGTCTCTGATCTTGCCCCCGAGGGCATGTGGGGACCCCCCCCCCAGGCGGAGCGCTCCAGTTCAGATGGTCCTGGGAAGAAAGCAAAGGCCGCGTGCTTGGGTGGGGGCCGTGGGAAATGCCCTTGGGCGGGGAGCATCCATAATGCGGGCCTTTGTGTGCAGCGGGAACCCGCTCCCTCCTGGGCCGACTTCTAAGTCACTGGGTCGCCCCGCCGGTGGCCGAGTAAGTCGACTCTGGTTAGCCTGCTTTGATGGCCGCGCTGCGCCCTGAAATCCCAGCGTCTGGGGAAACGTGGTGGGGCTTCTCGCCGCTCTGTTCCTACCCACTCACATTCCAGCCGCGCCGGCGGGGGTGGGCGCGACGCGGGCTGCTGGAGCCACGGGGGCACCCCGAGCCAGGAATGCTGCGAGGCCCCCCCAGCTCGGCTCATTTGTATTTGAACTTCATCCTCTGCTTGAGGCTCCCGCCACAGGCCCCGGGAAGGGGGTGCATGGCCTTTCCTTCCCATTCTCCAGGTGGGTTAAGGATACTTTTCATTTCAAGTTATTTTTAAAAAGCCCCTCGCGGGCTGTGCAGCCGGCAGTGTCCGCCGCGCGCCTTCCAGGAAAACATGCCTGAGAAACAAAACTACCCCTTTACCTTTCTCCCACCCCCCTTAGTCTTGCCTCCCACTTGCTCTCCAGTTTCTCTTCACCCCCTGGCGTGGAGAATTCCACACTGCTCTGGAATGTCCTGTGCATGCTTGCTTTGTTCTCAACATGCCTTCCTTTCCTGAGTGCTGCGCACCACAGTGAGGAGCACTGACGTCGGAGTGTCTGCCCCAGAGCTTGGCTGGGGAGATGGGGGGTTCAGCCAGAAAATGGGGATAAAGAGCCAGTGCAGGGTCTGGCTTGCAGAGAAGCCCGAGATAGAGCAGGTAGGAGATAAACGCTCAGGCCGCCTGGTTTCTGCCCCGATCAGTACTTACTAGCTGCCTCAGTTTCCCTGTGTGAAAAAAGGGACTCCAGTGATACTGCAACAGGGTGGCAATACTAACCTCAAAGAGTAAATGAGATTAAATGAGTTATTAGATAGAACTGCTGGCCCCTAACGTTTGACACGTATTAAACTATTAACAAGAAGTTTCTAGCCCGCAGAAGGGGGGGGCAGCCAAGAGGGGAGGCTGTCCTTTCAGCAGCAGCGCTGATGGCGTCCCTGGGGTGGCAGCATTTTCTCACTTGGAGGTGGCTGCTCCGGTCTCGGGCCAGGGTTTCTAGACCAAGTGATAAAGTAGCAGGATTCGGGGAGGTGGGCGCGCTGCATGTGTTTCACTTTTCACTGTGGAGATGCTCACGTCTACCCCAGCCTCCGCGAGTGCTGTGGCCTAGAAACACTGCCCAGCCCTGCCCCAAGTGCTGTGGCCCAGAGACACTGCCCAGCCCTGCCCCGGGTGAAGCGAGCTTGTGGGAGCTGGAAATCCCCTCACTTTCCCTATAATTTCTGGTTAATCGGCCCAGAGGATCAGGTTGCACTGAAAGATAATGGGCCTTAATGAGCACCTGGGAATTCAGGTCACGGCTGCCGCCTGGCCCGCGCCCCTGCTGTCGCTGCCCAGCGGGCGGCCCCGCCGCCCTTACAGACGAGATGCGCCGAGCAGGTTGAGTGCCCTGCGTCTCGGGTTTTTGCAAAGCTGTTTTCATCTCTTCAGTCCGCCACCCGTGGCAAGTCCATTCATGCTTGTCCCAACTCTCACTGCCCCTGGGTGGAGAGGAATCCGGCAGGACAGACTGGCCTCTTGCCGTCGGCGGAGAGCACAGCCCGCAGCCCAGTCCAGCGGCCCCGCTGCTCGTCGGGAGGTCGCGGTGGGGGAGGGGCACTTGACAAACATCTTGTGTCACTGGTCGGAAAAGCCCATTGAAGGTCAGTTTTAGATTAAAGGGCCGTGTCTGTCCGTCCGTGAGGGGCTTTGCCTTTTGTTCCTGTTGGCATTTTGTGGCTCATCTGTTTAATTAGCAGATACCTGTCTCCTAGCTTCTCCGGCCAAAAGTATGAAGATATTCCTCGCCTTCCCCTTGCATTGCTCTTTCCTTCTCAAATGGTGATAGAGCCGTCGCGATGGCCACAAAACCCCGACGAGGGAGGCTGGGAGGCTGGGCCAGAGGTGGTGTCCTGCATGGGGCAGTACAGCGCGTGCAGGTGAAACCTTTCACTTAAAGCCACTCAGGGAGAACGTGGTGGGAGCTGGATTTATCTTCAGTCGCGGACACTGAGTCCAAACCTTTCTTCTTGGCTCGTTTCCCATCATTACAGCCTTCCCCTGCGCACCCCCTCCCAGTGCCCACAAGTTTGGGAGGTGAGCTCCAGAGGCTCGGTTTTAAGGGTTTTTTTTTTTTTTTTAAATGCACTGTACGGGGCCCAGCGCCATCACGTGGACCAGCTCCTCTTGGTGTGACGGCTCCGCTGGGCTTTGTTTTGTTCCCCAGGTAGATGCCCAGCAGTGGCACGAGCTTGCTTCGGGTTCCTAGCATCTGCTTGGAGACGGGCGCTAAACCATTTTTTAAAAGTAAAAGTAGTCGAGAAAGAGACACACCTTTTCCCTTTGCAGAGCAGCTCCTTCTCCTCTCGCATCTGTGCCAGCAGCTTTCCTTTTCCTAGTCACCCTGTCCTTTTACAATGGAAAAAAAAGGAAAAGAGGCGAGAGCTGCGCTCAGCGTGAGACCAAGTCAAGGTAATGGCCAGCCCCAGACCTGCTGTTGGCTTGTTAGGGGATGTCAGGGACATTTCTTGACCTCTGAGCCTCAGTTTACTCCTCTTCAAAACGGGGATAATTGTGTTCCTTATCCCTTCACTCCCAACCCCTCCCTAACTTGTGGTCTCCTTCCTTCTGACAAAGGTGGGGCTCTGGGCTTCAGAAACACGTGTGAGGATGCCCCCTGGTGGAGGGAATGAGAACTGCAATTCAGGCATGGGGTGACCTGGGGCTTTGCGCATAGACCTGAGCCTCAAGCGTGCAGAGGTGTCTAGCCTCGTAAAACAGGCATCGAGAGACATTTCTAATAAAAGATCCCTTGGGCAAATAGAAGCTCCAGTGAAGGAACGAGAGGAGATTATTTGAAAGGGGGGCTAGTAATCCAACTGGAGAGTTTCCTAGGATGGACAGTCCGGTAGATTCATCCTTTTGTCTAGAAGGCCCTGGAGCCAAGTGTTTTCAAGGCCGCCCCTTCAAGGCTCAGCTTAGATACCTCCACCTTGGCGAGGCCCGCCCTCACCAACCGGTACAAATTACACCTTTCTGAAGCTCCTCGCCTGTCACCCTTACATCACCCGTTTTCATTCTCTCACAGCTGGCTCTTAGCGCCACTGGAAATTCTTGGTTTCTGTGTTTGTCCCTCTCCCATAAAACAGTGTGAGCTCAGGACAGGCACCTTGTCTGTCTGGTTCGCTATGTTGCCCTTAGAGTCCAGTAATTTCTTGCATATGTCTTGGTGGAAATCCACCGAATGAGGCCTTTGGGACTCTGTTGTACCACGACTCTCTAGCTGGGCATATTAATGTTTTTTGAGTTTTAATATTCTGAATAGCTTTGTCTCTAAAGCGCTGGTCACAATATTCCTCCACCCAAGTACCTTCTCCGTCTCTTGCATTTGTCTCACCACCCTGTGTGATTAGGCTAAAGACTGTGCAAGTCTCATTCACAGTGATCCATTTCTCTTCTATGCTTGGGATTGCAACCGGCCATTACCTCTTTGCATCAGATCCGAGGCAGATCGTCAGCACTCAATAAATATTTCCTTAGCAGTGTCTTTTGTGCAATACTATGGGGACTGAATAAAGGATCGGAGGAGAGCTGACCTGGTTTATTAAGTTTTTATTTTACGAAGTTTAATACAGTGTTTATCTTTGTGCTACTTCTGCATAGACTGAGATACAAAGATTAAATAACTTTCCCAACGTTAGAAATAAGAATGAGCACTTAGGGCCTCCCCGGTGGCGCAGCAGTTGAGTGCTGGGTTGCGAAGCTGCTCACGGCCTCTGCAGCGCCGGTTCGATCCCTGGCTGCTCCCCGGCCACCGGGTGAGGGTCCCACATGGCGCGCAGACCTCTCCTGCCGCCCGCTGCTCCCCTCAGCAGTGTACTTCGGTCCTTCTGCCTGCTCTGCTCCCCGCTCTGACTCTGAATTTTCTCATCCTCCCGCGCTTCTGACTGTACTCAGTGCTTGTATAAATAAATAAATAAATAAATAAATCTTTTAAAAAAAAAAAAAAAAAGAATTAGCACTTAAACCCAGGTCTCTGGTCAGAGTTCACACACCTGACTGTTATGTTACTGTTTACTTGAATGTACACCATCCACATCATCTCACTGTACTTTGGTCTTTAACTGTTGGACTCAATAGGGAGATTTATTTAATTTTTTATTTATTAGATTTATTTATTTATACAAGAACCGGGGTACAGGCCAGATGTGCGGGAGGGTAAGAGGATTCACCAGAGACAGAGCGGGGAGCAGAACAGGCAGACTGAAATGCACTGCTGAGGGGAGCAGCAGGTGTGACAGGGGAGGCTTGCTGCGCCATGTGGGTTGCTCCTTGGCTGGCGGGGATGAAACCGGCACTGCAGAGGGCACGGATAGCTTCATAGTGCTGTGCTCAACTGCTTGCGCCACCAGGGAGGCTCTTATTTATTTTTAAAAGATTTATTTATACATGTAAGAACTGAGGTACAAACCAGAGGTGGGGGGTGCAAGGATTCACCAGAGACAGAGTGGGGAAAAGAACAGGCAGACTGACTGAAATACACTGCTGAGGGGAGCAGCAGGTGAGACGGGAGAGGTCTGCTGCGTCATGTGGGTATCTTCCTGGCCGGGGACCGAACTCGTGCTTCAGTGGCTGTGGATAGCTTCTTAGGTGGAGTCTTAACCCCTTGCGCCACCAGAGAGGCCCCAGTGTATCTTATTTTAGGGCTACCTGAACAAGAGGGCCCTTTCTTGTTGCTAATGAAGTCACTCTCTAGATTGGTTACTGTTTACAAGGAACAAGTAGATGAGAAGGAAAAATCCGGCCGCAGTTAAGTCACCCTATAATCGTCCAAAACATAAAGATTAGATTGACCACTTTGACACCTTTGCTTTCCTGTCACCCGACTATGCTTTGATTGGCTGTTGCTTGCTTTGTGTGAGTCAAGGTTTTGGCGGATGAATCAATTTCGATTTTATAAGGGAAGGAATGTTCTTGTCTTTAATCCACCCAGTTTCCTAACTGCTGTGATTTATGTCCTGCAGTGAGATTTGAAGCCTGCACCGGTCAGCCAAGAACAGTCTACCATTCCGATAACAGCCACTTCAAGCTGGGCCCTGACGGCGTGCTTACGGTTAAAAGGGCTCTACAGCTGCATAATCCAGAAATGAGTTTCCTTGTCCACGCCTGGGACTCCAGCCGCAGGAAGCTCTCCACCAAGATCACGCTGACGGTAGCAGCGCGCCAGCACCAGCACCGCCATCACGTACGTTGGGGTGTTTCTTTGTTGGGAGTTGTTTTAGCCGCCCGCCTAATCCAAGGTTCCCTGCCTTGGCACCGTTCACATTTGGGGCTGGACAGTTTTTGTGGGGTTATCCTGGGAACTATACCATTTTAGCAGCATCCCTTGCCCTCATCCACTTGATGCCAAAAATGTCTCCATATACTGCCAAGGATCCCCCCCACCCCCGGGGCTCTAACTGAACCGATTCTTGTCTGGGGGTTTTTGTTGTTGTCCGGTAGAGAGGGATCAGGCCACACAACGGCAGGGTGGCCTTACCTGGATTTCTGCAGGCAGTGTGGAAGAGTAAGAGCCGGTACTCTCGTCTGGGATGAAACCCCAGCCCTACCATTTTCCACCCCGAGTAGCCCCAGGGGAATCATTGAATCTGTCTATGCTTGAGTTTCCTTAACTGTAAAATGGAGATCATAATGGCTGCATGCATAGAGCCATATCTATACCTATATAGCCAGGAATGGGTCTATAGGAAGGGGCAGAACTCTGCAAGGCATATAGAGAAGGAGTCAGAAATTGTTGCCTGTCTTACTCCTGGAGGAAGGGTGACCGAGGAGTCAATTGTCTGATTCACTTTGCTCTTTGTTTCTAGTAGAGAGGGAAGAATTGGTGGGGAGCTTTTGCCCCACTGGGCTGTAATCTTGACAAGAGTCTTCCCCATGGTATTTGCAGTGTCTGGCCCTGGGTCTGGCACATACCAGGAGCCCAGTAAATATTCAGTCCACCTGGGCACACAGGTGGATTGGCCATGAGTGGAAGATGTCTGTCCATCCAGATTCTTGGCAAGGGTATTTCTGAGAATTGTTACCTAAAGCCAAATGCCATTGTCACTTTTTAAACTGTTCCCATGGTGCTTCCCACCAGAAGATCTGGCTCTGGGGGGCGTTCTAGTTGTATCCTGCTCACTGCTTGGACGTGTGGAACATGTTTTAAGTGCCGGGGCCTTTCAGGCTGGCTCCTGTTTTTCTCCCTGAAGACTCTCGATGTCCTCAGAATTTAGTAGTTCTGCTAGATCTAATTTTACTCCTTGGTATTAGATCTAATTTTTCTCCTTGGCATTATTGAACAGACCAGAAAAATTTAGTTGAACTCTTTTAACATCGCTCCTTGGCTAATCTCTCCATTTAACTGTCATTCACAAAAACTCAACATCGTGAGTTATTGCTGGGGTGCTGTATGTGGAAGCCTTTTGTGAACAAAAGATAGTTTAGAGCCTGGTCTGTCAACTTTTCCACCCCACCTCTGCCAACTTGCCTTTGTTTCCATGTCTGCTGTGTCATGATTAGGTTCAAATGTATACTGTAGAAACCCACAAATTACAGTGATTTGTCTTTTACGAAACGGAGCATTTCTCTTTTAAGTTAAGAAATTCCAAGGGCAAATTGTGGCCAACAGGGAGACTCCTAAGTCACCAATAGCCCAGATTCCTCTTCTTTCTGCCCTGTCATCCTCAGCACAGAGCTTCCATCCTCAAGGATACCTCACAACCCAAAATGGCTGCTGGTGCTCCAGTCATCACATCTTTATTCTAGGTGATGAGTAAGGGGGGGAGTGTATGATGTGTATAAAGTGAAGCGTAGGGTGTGGTTTGTTTTACTTGCACACACTGCATACTAAAGTTTGAGCTATATATAAAACATTTTTGTTTTTCAATAAGGGAAGGACAACTGGATTATTGAGTAGTAGGTGGCAACTCTGTCATGCGGGTTTGAAATTGACTTTCATCTGTCTCTAGTTCAAGGGACGCTTGTGGAGTCAGGTGTCCTCCATTAGGAGAGGGGGTGATGATCTTAACCTTTTAATTCATACAAGAAAGATCTAGTGTCTATCAAAACATGTTGTTGTAGACCTTCAAGTATACAGTCTGCTCAGTTTACCTCAGTAAAGTTAGGGGGAGAGGAGAGGATAAGACTAAATCCAACCTTCCACCTCTTTGTCTCTGGGTGAATTGCTCAGTCTGGCATCTTTGTTTTTGCTCGAGGGATGAATGCCACGTTCATTGAGTTTAGGAATGATTCCCTTTCATTTCACACACAAAGATCTTAATGTTAGCTTTCTCATCCCTCAGTTTATCAGTTTATTATTCTCTGAAAATGTTCTGCGGTCTTCATGTGAGCACGACAGAATCTTCCTCTTCCAGGTGCCGGATGAATTTGTATTCACTCAGTGAAGCCCACTGGGCGCCCTGAATGCAGCTGGTGGTGACTCTAGGTTAGCACACGGCTTGACAACCAGTTTCACAGCCTGTTCCTCTGCTGGGCCCAGATCCCAAAGCCAGCTTTATCAAAACCATAACTCGGTGTTTTCCAACTGGGCCAGGATAGCTATTATCTTAATTATTATCATTTATTGAGCACTTACTATGTCTCAGACACTATTTTAACTGCTTTATCTGCTGCATTAGTATCTAATTTAATCCTTTCAAGAACTCTGATATAGGTACTAATTTTATCCCCATTTTTTAGATGTAAAGAAACTGGGACAAAGAAGCTAAATAATCTCCCCAAGAGGACGGGGGTGCCATAGTGAGGATTCGCAGCCTGGCTCTATAGCCTTCCTTTGGCACAGGGGCATTGCTTCTTTGCAGGTTCATGCAGGAAGGCGGGTTGCGTGTGTGTGTGTGAGAAACAATATGCGGGGATGGAGGATGGCGAGGTTTTCCGATACCTGGTCTCATTTTATATCTGCCTTGTGTTTTGACCTAAAATTTCAAAGCAAGGAGCTAGGGCTGGAATACACTTGGCAAAGCGGTGACCAGTGACTGAGTGGGTGCTCGGACACATGGGAGCGGGTGGCATTGTCCTCTGGAACCTTTGCTGTGTCCCCTCTAGACCACTTTAAGACACTTACATAATTTGGAAGATCTTACCCTTCCATCTTCAACTATCTTATTTCCCTGTGTGTGCATAAAATTCTCTATCACACACAAAAACTGTTGATTCTAAGTCACAAAGGGGTGTTTTTGGTTCCCGTCCCAACACTTCCGTTTAGAACAAATGGAAAACATAATGACACAATAAGATTAAAGAATTTGTATTGATCACAAAGTAGCCCTTAGTACCAATTCCCAAAACTATGCATAGATCATTTCTGTTGTTCACTACACCTTGGGGGACCTGTATGAAAAAGAAACAGGAAAAGAAGATTAAAGCACCTGAATAAGCACTTGCTGAATAAGCTCCTCTAGTCAATCATCAGCCTATACTATACTATTAAAAATGAGAAGGCTTGACATAGCTTGTAAAATAACAACAAACCCTCACACCTTTAGGCATAATTCGTAACGACTACTTGAACGCTGCACTCTTAAGATCCTAAGAGAACACAGTGTTGCGCGGCAAAGGGGTTTATTGGGTTTTGCTTGGACTGTTTTGGCATGAGGTGCAGCCATCCGCTGCCCGGGCTGGGGCTGCTGCCCGGGGGGGTTGCTCTCTGACCTCTTGTTTCTCCAGAATTTTTTCATTTTGTTCTTTGTCTCTTTCCTTCCAGGACTCTCTGTCCAGGACGCAGGGGGAAGTGCTCACATTTCCCGGCTCCCACCAGGGGCTCAGAAGACAGAAGAGAGACTGGGTGATCCCCCCCATCAACTGCCCAGAAAATGAGAAAGGCCCGTTTCCCAAAACCGTGGTTCAGGTAGGGAAGGAAATTGTCTCTTTGGGAGGGATTGGGCAGAGGAGGACAAAGGAGAGAGAGAGAGAGAGAGAGAGAGAAAGGACCTGTGTCAGGATCCTTCCTGGCTCATTCTTTTTTTCTCTCTTCAGATTAAATCAAACAGGGACAAAGAAACCCAGGTTTTCTACAGCATCACTGGCCAAGGAGCGGACTCCCCCCCCGTGGGCGTGTTTGTCATTGAAAGAGAAACAGGGAGACTGAACGTGACGATGCCCCTGGACAGAGAACATATTCCGCAGTACATTGTGAGTAGCTCTGAGCTTCCCGGCGCGGGGACACCCCCTTGCAAAGGTTTCCGTCCCTCCACGTCGCAGCGCTTGATCCCGATGCGCCGAACATGTGCAGCGTTTAAGCGACACCTAGGCCTGTTCAGGGACAGGAGAACCTGGTAAAATTGGGGGGTGTTTCATTTTTTGTTCAGAATCGGGGTGGGGGGCAAGTTCTTAATGCGTTTAGCTCTAAGATGTTGACCTGGTCTTGGGATGGACGTCCCTGACTCAGAGGAAGAGGAGAGTGGTGGGACCGGGCAGCACAGACAATTGCTGAGCCCTGGACGTGACTCAGAGGCCGGGAGGTCGTGCGTTGAGGCCGAGGGCAGCAAAGCCCGGCAGGAACACTCACCTGGACATGGGCGTGCTCCTGCTGGGAGCAAGTCAGGCGTGTTTTCGGTTTCCACCGCCGTCTCCTTGGGCCCGGACCACCCGCCCCGGCGCCGGCAATGGCGGGTGTGCTCTGCAGCCCGCGAGTCTGTTACACGCGCCAGGACCCCGGCCAGTGCCTTGACCTGGTGCGAGCAGAAGCACGAGTGTGAGGCCAGGGAGCCCACCCTGCTGGGGTCCGCTCCCTCCCTCCCGCCTCTTCTCCTGGTCGGGGTCTGAGTCCTCCTCACTTGGCTCCTCTTGCAGCTCTTTTCTCACGCTGTGTCGTCTAACGGGGAGGCCATTGAAGACCCGATGGAGATTGTGATCACGGTGACGGATCAGAATGACAACAAGCCGGTGTTCGTCCAGCAGGTCTTTGAGGGGTCTGTCATGGAAGGTGCTCTTCCAGGTAGGCCCAGCTACGAGGCGCTGAGTACCCAGAAAGACACTTCGATTCTGTAGGCCCCAAAGTCAGCTCCTTCATAGGGACGGAACTTGGGAAGCCAACTCCGGGTGTATTAGTTTACCTACAAAAAGACATAAAACTTTTCATCAGGGAAATGCAAACCTGACCCATAATGAGCCCTCACTGGACCCCAGGAGAATGGCTTATTGTACACAGATAGGGGACAAGTGTTGGGGGTCGTGCTGGTGGGAATGCAGACTGGCACAGGCATGGAAAATGGGATGGTGGGGCGTCAAAATTGAGACAAGAATTGCTCTATGACCTAGCTATTCTACTTCTGGGTATTTGTCCTAAAAACACACTAGCACTCATTTGAAGGGCTATGTAGACCCAGATGTTCATGGTAGCATTGTCAGTAGACGGAACGTGGGAATAACATGTCTATGCATACACGGCGGCACTCCCGTTGTCTCTTGGAGTTGTTCTAGATGTTCTGGGAACTGGCCCTTTGAATATTTGTAACCCAGTTACAGAGAGCGTCCACTTGAAAGCAATTATCTCAATCATTTTCTCTGATGCAACTGTGGCTGAACAGCAAACTGGAAATTTCTGTAACTTCACTCATTTTACACCCCGTTTACACAGGGTGAGAGACAGGGCACAATGTTTTAGTTTCAGGTTATTTCTTCCCCATATTCTTCCTCATGTGTACCCCACCCCCAGGCGCCCCCGTCCAAAATTCGTGCAGGGAAGCCGAGCTCTCGGAACAGTGCTCATTGGGTGGAGCGCTTGCTTCCTCCCCGGCACTCTGGCGAGACATTCAGAGATGCACGAATGGATGAGGGGTGCCCTTCGCCCCTCCCCCAAACACTGGATAGGACCAAGGTGGCGGTATTGCACAGACCCCAGAGTGCAGCCTGACCGAGTCTTCCTCTCCTTCAATGCCTCCAGGGACCTCTGTGATGCAGGTCAATGCCACCGACGCGGACGACGACGTGCGCACCGACAACGCTGCCATCGGATACTCCATCCTCAGCCAGGATCCGGAGCTGCCGCACAAGATGTTCACCATCCACAAGGAAACTGGCATCATCAGTGTGGTCACCACCGGCCTGGACCGGGAGGTACAGGGTCAGGAGGATCTGGTGGGCGTGGGGTGGACTGACATTAGCTACACCCAACACAACAAAGCAAACCTCCTTTGATGCCAGTGGCCAGCGGGCATGGGGGCGGTGACGGTCTGAGCTTGGCATGTAAACTCTGTCCAGGGGCCTTGCGCCTCGCAGGCAGGAATTTCAGCAGGTGATAAAAAACACTCTTGTATGCTGTGGGCTAGGCGGGGCCTGGCATGGCTGGTGGTCTGACTGGGATGTGATTCATCTACCCACAGAGTATTCCCAAGTACACCCTGGTGGTTCAAGCTGCTGATATGAATGGTAACGGCTTAAGCACAACAGCAACAGCCGTGATCACAGTCACCGACAGCAACGATAACCCTCCCGTCTTCAACCCCACCACGGTAATTCTGCAGCTCTCTGGAGGGTTTCCGAGGAAGGGCCTTTGTTTCGCAGTGGCTCCTGGCCAGACTTTCGATAGCTTTCCCCAGACTCTAGGGGATGCTGACTTGAGGAGGAAGCCAACAGGAGTCGCAGTTGTTGCTGAGCTTCTTTGTTCCCTTTGTGACCTGGAGCCTATTGGCACAGGTTGGTGAAGGTCAGGGAGCACCTACTGACTGTGTCCTTGTGTTGCGCATCTTGGTAGCAAATCATACCCGGTTTTAATTTTTCATCGAGCCAATATATTTTTTTTAAGATTTTTTTTTAAAAAGAGTTATTTATTTTATATAAGAACCGGGGTACAGGCCAGATGTACGGGAGGGTGAGAGGATTCACCAGAGACAGAGCAGGGAACAGAACAGGCAGTGACCGAAATTCACTGCTGAGGGGGGCAGCGGGCACGACAGGAGAGGTCTGCCGCGCCATGTGGGACCCTTGCTCCCTGGCTGGGATCGACTAGCGCTGCAGAGGCTGCGGACAGCTTCACAGCATGGCGCTCAACCGCCTGCGCCACCAGGGGAGGCCCTCATTAAGCCAATTTTAACCCAAGTCTACGCCAGGCAGTGTGGTCGACACTGAAGACAGAATCACAAAGCAAGCAGACAAGGATACTGCTCTCATGGAGTTGGTAGTCTAGCTGGGGGGGTGGGGTGGGTGATAGGCACCTTGTGCAAAGTATTGTTTGCACTTGTATTAAACGCAGACAAGGAGAAAGCGGAGAGTCACCTAGAAAAAACCTAGGCCCTCTATTAGCAACGGAGAGCTGCCTCTTGAGTTATAAGCAAACAGTCCTTTGTCTTCTTGTCCTGCGGTCATGGTCCATGACATCCACTGTCCCTTGTGGCCCAGCAGAGCTGCTGGAGCTCCGGCGTGTCTGTGCTTCCCTCAGGAAGGCGGTGGGGGCAGGAAGGCGTGCAGAAGGCATTACTGCTACGCCAGGTTCTCCTCGCCCTAGGAAGATGTCTACAAAGAAGGCTGCACACACAGTGTTTTATCTGGGCACATAGCTGCCCCCAACAACATAGTGAAGAAGGGGAGAATGGATTTTTAGGAGACTAGAAGTGTCGCTATTCTAAGCTGAGCATGTGTGTATAAGAAGCGACGTCTCACAATGACAGGGAGTAACGTTTATACTAAGACTGGATCGGAGGCTGGCAGTATGGGGCAGGAGACAGTGGAAGAGTGTTCTAGGCAGAGGGATTAGCACGAGCACGGTGCCGTGAATCCAGAGCAAGCTTGATGCACAGCAAGGACCGAAAACCTTGTGATTAGATGGAGGTGGGATGCTGGGAGCCCTTGTAGACTGACGTGAGAATTTTAGAAGCCAGCCTGAGTGCAAGGGGATGTCCCCAAAGCGTGGGGTAGCAGTGGTGTGGACCACTCTACGCCCCTTGCTCAAGACCACAGTCAGCAATGAGGCCAGCGTGCTGAGCTCTTGGAGGGACCTGCACTTTTCAGCTTCCTGTATGTGGACCGACTCCAGAAGGGGGCGTCCTCGACTTCCATCAGAGTGGGCCCCTCCTGAGACCTCTCCACAGAAGGGCTCTCAAAGTATTCCCTGAGCCCCCAGAGATCCTTCTGCACTATCGGGACTGGGTGCCTCCTGATTGACCCATCTTCTTTTTTGCTCTGCAGTACGAGGGGTCAGTGTTGGAGAACCAGGTTGATGCCTACATCACCACCCTCAAAGTGACCGATGACGACGCCCCCAACACCCCGGCGTGGACAGCTGTGTACACCATATTAAATGATAACGAGGGGCAATTTGTTGTCACCACAGACCCAGTCACCAACGATGGCATTCTGAAGACGGCTAAGGTTTGTACTGGGAGCTGGTAAGATGCAGAAACTGACAGCCCTGCGCCCACTCCCTGGCCTCAGTGTCTGCTCGGTTGTGTCAGCCCCTAACATGGCCCGCTGTGCTGATCTACACCAAACTCCATGTTCTGCCTCAAAGCTTAGTGGTACCAGGGCAGGGGTATGTGCTGTCACGGAGGGCATGTACATTCTTATCATCTTCAGGGAGTAACTGACTGTGCTAGTATTTGTTAACTGAGGGTCTGCCATGTGCGATTTTGGGGGAGTTCTTTATTCTTTGAGGTTGCATCACATACTATAGCTGCATGTGAGTCATGGGAAGCTTGGAAGAACATCAATGCCCAGGCCCCCCAGCCTCTGAGATTGTGATTTACTGGCTCTGGGGTTAGGGCCCAGGCGTCCATATTCTGGTTTTTTTTGGTGGTTTTTTTTTAAAGGTTTATTAATTTTTATACACGAACCGGGGTACAGGCCAGATGCGCGGGAGGGTGAGAGGAGTCACCAGAGACAGAGCAGGGAACAGAACAGGCAGACTGAAGAAATACACTGCTGAGGGGAGCAGTGGGCGAGACAGGAGAGGTCTGCTTCACCAGGTGGGGATTCTCGCCGGCCAGGTTCAAATCGGTGCTGCAGAGGCTGCAGACAGCTTCACAGTGTGGCGCTCAACCGCCTGTGCCACCAGGGAGGCCCCGTCCATATTTTTTTTTTAAGATTTATTTATTTATGCATACAAGAGCTGGATTATAGGCCAGAGCTGTGGGGGGTGAGAGGATTCACCAGAGAGAGTGGGGAACAGAACAGGCAGACTCACTGCTGAGGGGAGCCGCAGCTGAGACTGGAGAGGTCTGCTTCACCATGTGGGTAGCTCCCTGGCTGGCTGGGAATCGAACTTGTGCTGCAGAGACTGCGGATTGCTTCATAGTGCAGTGCTTAACCCCTTGCACCAGCAGGGAGGCCCCCCGTCCATATTCTTGAAAAGCAAGTTTGCTTTTCCTAATGCGGTCAGATGTGAGAGTCACTGATATATTGCTTATCTAAAGTGATAATCAAGGATTTTTTTTTTCCAACATGAAATATATTTAACTCACTTTCCCCTGCTCTTTAGGGCTTGGATTTTGAGGCCAAGCAGAAGTATGATCTATGTGTGATCGTGACAAACGAGGTCGCCTTTGAAGTCCAGCTCCCGACCTCCACAGCCACCGTGACCGTCACCGTGAAGGACGTGAACGAAGACCCCATCTTCGTACCTCCTCAAAAGAGGGTGGAAGTGCCCGAAGACTTGGGTGTGGGCCAGGAAATCACGTCCTACACAGCCCAAGATCCGGACCACTTTATGAAGCAGAAGCTAACGTAAGTGTGAGGGCTTCACCCTGACCGCAGTCCCCTCCGGCCATTCCAGGTTCTCTGTGCGTCCTCTGAGTTCCTGTACGTTAACCTCAGCTCCAGATGCTAAACACACAAACCAACCCACAACACCTCTATCATTTGTAGGATAATCTTAATTTTTGAGCACTGGTCACATCCATGGTGCTCCCACGGGACTGTAGTGAATGTAACTCAAAGGCAACACTAAGAGCGCAAACCCACCTGTGTGTTAGCTACTATGATTTCAGGCACCTTGGTCACTGTCTGCCTGCTAGTATGGACTGCTGAGGACAGTATCAGGACAATATCAATTTCAGTCACTGATGTGCAAACACAGTTTAAGTGTCTCCTGAAATCAATGCCTGGGAAGTGCCGATTCCCTAGTGAAAGGGCTCACCAGCCCCTTGCATGGAGGGGCTGTACAAGGGTCTAGCTGCTGATGGAGGTAAGCAGAGTTCACCCCCTTCTGTCCATCCCCCGCTTCTTGCTTCTCTTTCTTCCCCAATACATACTGTGGGCACTCAATGGCACATGACCCCGAATATGGCAGAAGGGTAGGGTCACTGCCACAGATGAGTTACAAGGCAAATCAATCAAATCAAGCTGTATTGTGTACAGCAGGAGATTGACTATTCAAATGATCCAAGTATAATTTTTTTAATTCTTTTTTTTTTTAATTTATTTCTTTGTGCATACAAGAATTGGGGTACAGGCCAGAGATGCGGGAGGTGAGAGGATTCACCAGAGACAGAGTGGGGAACAGAACAGGCAGATCGACGGAAATACACTGCTGAGGGAAGCAGCGTGTGAGACAGGAGAGGTCTGCTGCGCCATGTGGGTTGCTCCCTGGCCAGGGATTGAACTCGTGCTGCAGTGGCTGGGGACAGCTTCATAGGTTGCGTTTTAACCCCTTGCGCCGACTTACTGTTTTTGCTGGGTATACCTGTGGCATTACATGTTTTTAGAAAATACTTAGTAGGGGTATATGTGGATGTGTTTACAGAAATCTTACGCGATTTGATTTAAAATACTCTAATCGTGTACATGTCATCAGTGTACTGTTCATGATGTGGGTTTACTTTCATGTGATCCAAAATAAAAGGACTATGTGTTTTTAATTGCAGTAAATATAGGAACAAAGGAACTTAGCAGCCTTGAGCTACCTGCTGTTGCTGTTTCATCCTAAACCAGAGCTGCTTTCTGCCTTTTCAGGTATCGGATTTGGAGAGATACCGCCAATTGGCTGGAGATAAATCCAGAGACTGGAGCCATTTTCACGCGGGCTGAGATGGACAGAGAGGACTCTGAGCACGTGAAGAACAGCACGTACACGGCCCTCGTTATAGCCACCGATGACGGTAAGGTTGGACCTGCCACCTGGTCTTTGGCCTCATGCTCCGGGCTAGCTTGCTTCCCCCGCCTGCCTCCAACCATGCTTTGGGAGGCAGGCGTTTTTTGGGTTTTTTGTTTGTTTGTTTTTTAAGAATGTCTTCTCATTGTCAACAATGCAAACAACTCAAGTCAAGCAAAAGTTCATGTTCTCCACTCTGTCTATATCTGAACCCCACTTCTTCCTCACATGACCCAGGCTGCCTGGGCTTAGATCCTGTGTGGCCTTGGACTTACTACCTTATTTTTATGTACCTGTTACTTTATCTGACAAAAGGATACTGTCACATCTGATTGAGTTAATTTACATAAAAATGCTAGCAGAATGACTTATCACATATGGCTACGTAAAGATGGCCATCATCAGTGAAATATGGCCTCTTCCAGATTCTGTATGTGACTACATTTATATGCACAGAAGTACAATTTATTATTTTTTTTAATGCTTTATGTATTTATCTACACAAGAACTGGGGCACAGCCAGAGGTGTGGGAGGATGAGAGGCCTCACCAGACAGAGTGGGGAACAGAACAGGCAGACGGACCAAAAACACTGGTGAGGGGAGCAGTGGGCGAGACAGGAGAGGTCTGCTGTGCCATGTGGGTATCTCCCTGGCCAGCCGGGAATCGAACTGGCGCTACAGAGGCTGTGGACAGCTTCACAGCGCTGCGCTAATGCCCCTGAGCCACCAGGGAGGCCCAGAAGTACAATTTATTATAACTGTCTAGCTTATTGCTTTTCTTTATTAAACGCAGAAAGACACTTAGACTGTCAGTTTTAAAAAGTGAATGTAAAATGTATCTTTAAGACAGATCCATGGTACATGTAAATAATGTTAGATAAATCTAGCAAATGGAACCACACATTAAAGGAAATGTTCATTATTTCCATGAGTGATGAGTAAGCATCCTTGTACATGCCTCTATGTCCCAATATCTCACTTGGATGCTCAGAAGCAGAATCACTGTTACAGAGACCTGCTTCTTTCCTCTCCTTCCCCCACCTCCTGAGGTAAGTAATTCTAGGTTGACAATCTGGAAAGCAGAGGGCAAGGCAGGTTAGGCCGTGATGGGGCCGCCGTGCAGCTGCTGAATGGTGCGGCACTCTGCGCTGGGAGCCCGCCATGGAATAAGCCTGGGCTCGTCAGTTCAAATCTAAAACCTGCTCCAAGGGCCTCCCCGGTGGCGCAGCGGTTGAGCGCTGGGTTGCGAAGCTGCCCGCAGCCTCTGCGGCGCCGGTGATCCCCGGCTGCTCCCCGGCCACCGGAGGAGGGTCCCACATGGCGCGCAGACCTCTCCTGCCGCCCGCTGCTCCCCTCAGCAGTGTACTTCGGTCCTTCTGCCTGCTCTGCTCCCCGCTCTGGCTCTGGTGAATTCTCTCACCCTCCCGCGCTTCTGACTGTACCCAGTGCTTGTATAAACAAAACAAACAATAAATAAACATGCCTCTAAAAAAAAAAAAAAAGGAAAAAAAAAAGAATAAAACCTGCTCCAAGACCTGTAATTTGGGAGTAGGCTGATGGGAAGCAGAGAGCAGGGCAAGCCCCGCCATGATGGGGTGCCAATTGCAGGGTGCTTTTGCAGAAAGGGAATGTTAGCTGCTGCCTCAGCTGCCCTGCTACCCGTGAGTGGAAGAAATGCCAATAAGCCTCAGGGTGGCAAACTTTCAGTAAGTGACCGGGGAGTAATATTTTAGCCTTGGAGGCCACCAAACAGTTTCTGTCATGTTGTAGCTTAAAAGCAGCCTAGACAGCCTGTAAGAGATGATATAGCGGGGCTCCTCTGGGGCAACAAGTCCTTAGTTTGCTGACCTGCAGCATTCTGATGGCTCAGGAGTGGTGGTTCTGAATGATTCCTCCAAGTGTTACTATGATGGTGCATGACTCAAAGTGTTGTAAGGTTTAATTGCAGAGTGAGGTTTCTCAGAAAATATGAGCTAATTCAAAATGTAAAACAAAAGATATTTATTTATTTTTTTAAACAGAGGCATGTTTTTATTTATTTATTTGTTTGTTTTGTTTTAATCCTTTTTTAAAAACGGAAAAAGTCCACACAGTCTCATCATTCACATCTGTTAACAGGTTTGAGATATAGACCTCTTTCCCCTATAATATATTAATACCGATGATTTTTCTTCCTTCAGTTTCTTTCTAGTCTCAGGTGTCAGGCTGTAAACAAGGTGCAGATAGAAGTGTGAGAAGTTGTTTGAAAAGCAACTTGCAGGACGTTGCTCTAATCATGACATTAAAACTATAGAAGATCAGAAAGGGAGAACCTGGTGGGCAACAGCGAGGACTTCTTTGGGTGGTTAAGTGATTCATAGTTAGTGGGTAGTGGGCAGGTGCTTAAAGGACAGCTCTGTGGAGGCAGGAGGGTGTCTGCGGTGTGAGGAATAACTTGAATAATTGTTGCCAATTGTTGCCCACGTGGGGAATGGACACGGGGCGAGGAAGCCGCAGGCACAGCAGCACCGCAGGCTCTGTGGGCGTGGTGGTGATGGGTCCCTGGAGAGCTAGACCGGAATTGAATTTGGTCTGATGGAGCTAATATGGATTCATCCGTGTTCCTGAAGATGCTACCTTCCTCCTATTTTCTCTTAGGTTCTCCAGCTATGACAGGAACGGGAACCCTCCTCCTTTTCCTGCTTGATGTGAATGACAATGCCCCCGTACCAGAACCTCGAAACGTTGATTTCTGCCAGAGGAACCCTCAGCCTCAGGACATCACCATCATTGATCCCGATCTTCCCCCCAACACGGCTCCCTTCACAGCAGAACTGATCCATGGCTCAAGTGCCAACTGGACCGTTCAGTACAAAGAGTTAGGTGGGAACTCGGCCCATTCAGTCACCTGTGTTTCCCTGGCCCCTATGACTTTTCTGAATGTCCCTTCTCAGCTTTCAGATGTCACCCCTTGCCATTGGTACTTGTTTCCTTGCCGCTTCTACCTTTGAGGAATTCTAACCCTTTCCTTTCTGGGGTGCTGACTCTGCCACACTGCCCAGTAATCACAGTCCAGGCAGATGTTTTCTTTACTCACTTTGGAATGTCTTTCATTCCCTTGTAATTTTATTCTAGAATGAGCTTTTTCCTTCCCTTCCCCCATTGTATTTTTTGTTGCTTCTTTTCAGACAAGGAATCTATCATTTTGATGCCCAAGAAATCCTTAGAATTGGGCGACCACAAAATAAGTCTCAAGCTCACAGATAACCAGGGAAAAGACCAGGTGACCACCTTAGATGCGTATGTGTGTGACTGTGAAGGGCCTGTCATCAACAAATGTAAGCGTGCCGTGCCATTTGCCGAAGCTGGATTGCAAGTTCCTGCTCTCCTGGGCATACTTGGAGGAATCCTCGCTTTCCTGAGTAAGTACAAGCAGCAGGTTGCCTTCCCCAGCCTTTGACTTATAAACATGGGAGGTTCATCTCTTACTGAACATTACTGGCTTGTGGGTCTAAGGTCAAAATGCAGCCTGTTCTGTTAAGTCAACGCAGAACCCCATTCTTCTACTAAGTTGTGCTTTCATCCTTCAAGAAGGTATTGATCAAGCTCGAGTATATACTGACCATGTGTGCTGGACCAGGATGAGAATTCTGGTCCAGCAGGTATGGGGTAGGGCCTCAGCTTCCACATTTATTACCAGTTCTCAGTTAGGCACACAGGACCTTGGCCACACTCGAGGCAGCGAGGCCCTGTGGCACTGTCCTCAGCAGCACGGCCAGAGCAAGCGAGCTCCCCACCGCTTCTACATTCCACCCTGGAGGAAGGCTGATCGGGGAGTGGAAGGCACCTACCTTGGAGACGGCATGTGGGGGACACACACGCACACGCTCCTGCCTCCATGGGAGCCTGCAAGTTCCCAGTCTAAACTGGGTGGTCACACACACAATTAAACTTGGCAGTGGGGCGGGCATGCCCGGTGTCAGTGACTAAGAGGAAGGGAGGGTTGTGTAGTACACTCAGGGACAGTCACACAGTGAAATCACCTAGTGGCATCTTTCTCAGAATGTATCCCTGTTGTTTAGCAACTTATGACATCCTAGAAATAGCCCAAGATCAGATGAGAACTTTGGAAATTGATTTTTATAGGCTGTGCCCACCCCCTTTAACTGATTATGTTTGTATCAACCCCACTTAGGCTGACAGTCCTGTTCGTGGCTCTAACCACTCAAAGCCCAAGTCCTGCCCATGTGCCACCCATCTCTGCCGGCACCCTCCTGACCTTGTCTCCACTTGTCTCACCTCACTCGCCGTACACTGACCTCGCCTTTCCTTCCTCACACCAGCATGCTCCTGCACAGGGCCTTTGCCCATAACACGCCCCTGGATTTGGGGAAATAGCTGCCTGAGTTCACATGAACCGCCATTCTGTCATGCTGCAGATGTTAACTTTAGGGATGGGAGAGCCACCGGCCTGGTGTGCATGGCAGGGGTGCAAATAGTCGCTTGGGTCCTCACGGTTCTCTCCTCCTCCCCAGTCCTAGTCCTGCTGCTCCTCTTGCTCATCCGGAGGAGAAGAGTGGTCAAGGAGCCCTTACTACCCCCTGAAGATGACACCCGAGATAATGTTTACTACTATGATGAAGAAGGAGGCGGAGAAGAAGACCAGGTGGGTCTTTTAAACTGTGGTGAGAAGCTTAATGGGATCTCAACGTGGAGGAAGCAATGGCCAGGACAAGGCAGACAGCCGCAGCAGCTCTGTGTCACTGTGGATTTTAAGCTAGGAAGAGAGACATGGTCATTAGCCATCGCCATCGCTGTACCTTTGCTAACAATGATCGCTTACTGTTGTGCACCAGGTTGAATGAGCAGAGGTAGGGAGCAGCTGAGGAACCTGCCCGGTCACAACTAGGAAGACTGTTGTTCATTCTCATTCAGAACTACTCTCAGGACATGAGCTGAAATTACCTCAATGAACAACTGATCTGTTTGAATAGTTGGTTTCCCTTGCACTTTTAGCTGTGCTGAACTTATTTTTGCTTTTTGTATTCTTAGATTTTTTTTTTTTTTTATTTTCCCTGCCTGTGGAGATGATCTTTATTATCCTCATGCAGGGATTTTCCAGAGTGCTTGCAAACGGCCTATTCTCCTTAGAAAGGGAAATATAGAGGACCTCTCCCAGAGTTCTGCTTTAGATTCAGGCCATAAAGTGAGGACTGTGAGTGCTGGATATGGAATAACAGCTATTGATTCAAATGTCAGTGCTTGCTTTGGGGATCAGGCTTTCACATGGGGAGGTCTGAAATACTCAGTCTAGAGCAGCTGGGCTCAGTGGCTCTATTTTGAGTTGTGTCTGGGGCTGTGTCTGCATCAATTTGTATCAGCAGGTTAGTCAAATGTGCATGTAAAGCCTAGACTTATGTCCGTGTGTTACTGGCCCCTGGACAAGTCCTACGACAAAGCCCAAATTAATGGATAAGAAAGGTACAGTTAACTTACCTGCAACCGCTCCTCACGACCGTTCCGTCCATGCATTTCCAGTGCTCTTCTGGCGACTCTTAGGTTGAAAACTGTAACGGTGGTGGCTAAGGCATTAGGCAGTGCTGCAGTCTGTAAGCCAGAGTGAGTCCTGGATTTATAACTTTTTTTACTTTTACCTTTCTCTTTAAAGGATTTTGACTTAAGCCAGTTGCATAGAGGCCTGGATGCTCGGCCTGAAGTGACACGCAATGATGTGGCACCAACCCTAATGACCGTGCCTCAGTACCGACCGCGCCCTGCCAATCCTGACGAAATTGGAAACTTTATCGATGAAGTAAGCAAAGTCAAAAGGCAACACACATCTCACCCCAAAATTTAGAAAGGAGAAGTTGTGTCAAAGTAAGAGAAGGCATCATGAGATTCTTGGCATGTCCTCACCGTACATGATGTCTGAGCCCTATTTTTTGGTGTCTCACCATTTCAGAACTAACAGCATTTAGAATTGGTTGCAGTGAATTGGCAGAGTTCATACAGTAAACTAAGAATTCAAAGTAGATACAACTTGGTTTTATTCATGCATCCCTTTCCTCTGCATCCCACTATGGTATGCAATAGGTTGGGATAGAGTAGTAAATGTATATCACAAATCTGCCCCCAGGGCCAGAAAAATAACACTGCTACTCTATGCATTCAGCTGTAGATACCAGAGGCTTAAGCAGATTTTGTGCAAACAGAAGGCTGAGGTAAGTAGTCTAGGTTAGTGCAATAGCCTTTTCCAACTTTATGCTACCTGATCCAAGTGTGCAGATCCTTGTTCTCTGGCTTGTTGCTTCGTAAGCACAAGAGGTTGCCACACTTCCAGGCCTTTAGTCTGTATTCCAGTCAGGCAGCAGGCAGGGCAGCAGAGAGAGCAAATCCCTTTCTTCTCTAGCAAACTGTCGTGCACCCGAAGCTGTTGTGACCTTGCCATTACATGGTCTTGATGAAAACGGTCAACAAAATGATCTGTCTGTAAGGGAAGGTGGAAAATAAGTCATGAAATTAATGAGATTTTAAGATAAGATGAGGAAGAACTAGGGGTAGGAATGGGCAAAGAACCAAGTAAGGTAAATAGTTCAGTGAGATTTCCTTAAACTGTTACCTGTTCACTGGTGCCAGAATAGACTGATTTTCAGGTTTTTTCCCTGAAGGTCTGTGGGTGCTCTGTGGGAGTCTTTAGGAAGGGACTGCTTTTGCTTGCTGCTGGATTGTCACCAGAAATTCCACGAAGTATAGCAGTGGGGAGGTAACCCAGCCACGGGCTCTTTGAAAGGGCCCATTTAAACCGTGCCTCTGAGATGTATTTGGAGTCGGGTTTTTTCCTCAATCCACATGCCCTTGCAGCCTGTTTTTCAATCACCAAAATGTTTGCAATTTTAAAAATGTGAGTTATAAAAATACATAAATAAAATTGAGTCCTTCCTGACCTTTCCAGGCTGAAAATGTAGCCTGGACCACTGTCCTCATTGTTTTTAGCTCTGCCCGTTCTGATGGTTCGGTGCCTCTCTCCTGCCTATATATAATTTACCATTTTGCTTTAGAGGGAGAAGACACACATCTGCCTTTGTGTCAGTGTCATACAGGTGTCCCCGGCAGTGGTTGCTGCTCCTGGAGCCCCAAGGAGGGGGAGGGTGTGTCATTGTGTAGGTACTTCAGGCATCAGGAGGCAGCTGTGGGCCTGAGAGGACAGGCATGAGATTCCGTTAACTGAGAGGTCCTCTTCTCTTCCAGAACCTGAAGGCGGCGGACGGTGACCCCACAGCCCCACCTTACGACTCTCTGCTGGTGTTTGACTACGAAGGAAACGGTTCCGAAGCTTCCAGTCTGAGCTCTCTGAACTCCTCAGAGTCGGACCAGGACCAGGACTATGACTACCTGAACGAGTGGGGCAATCGCTTCAAGAAGCTGGCCGACATGTACGGCGGCGGAGAGGACGACTAGGACTCGAGACAGACGCGGAGAGCCAGGTCTCTGTACTCGTGTGCTCAGAAATGTTTTTCAATTCCTCTCACTTGAATTTCTGGGGCAGAGAGACTGATCGGGAAAGAAGTTAGAATTTTTTACTTTCTAGATGTAATCTGTATGTGCTACAAAGGTTGACGACCTACTGCTTGGATGCTACATGGTGGCAATGTCCAAAAGATACCCTACTGCCCGTCTTGTTTTGTACGTAGGCAATCTGTAATTGGCTCATAAACATAAGCTTTTCCTCTCCTATTGCGGCACTGGTCTTTCAGCTTCTCAAATCCACTAAGAATTCCTTTGAATTCCATTACATTGCCCCAGACAGTTGTTGTCAGGAGCAGAAAGTGTGCGTTCTTAGATTTTTTTTTTCCTTTGGTCTGCCCACTGTGTCCTCCAGTGCTTTCACAGCTTTCCTTTTCTAGCTCCTGAGCACGTAACCTGAAATGGGCATCTGCCCATTTACTTGCTCTAAGTTGGAATGGAATGTCCTAAGAATGTCAATAAATGGTACTGTGGTTCTAAACATGAACTCTTAACCCAGAAAATGTGATGAACTTTCAGATACCACTTACTTTTTACTGTTTTTCATAAAAATGAGTGATTCCAAGGCTCAAGACAGTGCCTGAAGTGCTGCAAAGCCAGAAGGTGGCTTATTACAGGAGAGGGGAACACATGACGAGTGGGCTTTGGAGACTGCAGGAGAGGGTATCTTTGGTGTGGCAACACGGCAGACAGGATGGTTGAGTGGGTCTACCTGGAGACTCCTTCATTCTTCTAGAGCTAAACATGTTTTCTAGCAGGAGTCGTGAGCCATGCATGGCTAGTATCTGAAGGGCAGAATCTCCATGTGCCTATGGACAGTCTTGGTCGAGAGTACATGGGAACTGAGAAAACTGAGACTATTAGCAAGTTTTAGCAGAAGGAAGAAATCATTGCTCTGAAGGGTTATGCGGAGGGAAAACCTTGATTTGGCAAAATTCTTTTTGTCTGGTTATCTAAGGAGCGCCGCTGTCAACTGTTTTTAGAAGAAAAGGATCATTTCTGCAATCACTTTTAGGCATTGCCATGATTTTACAGTAATTTAAAGTAATGCAGGTCTGTAGAGAGAACGCCACTGTAGTTTTTGAGTGTCTGTGTGTGGGTGCTGATAATTTTGTATTTTCTTTGAGGGTGGGAAAGGAAAACAATTCTGAAAATATTCTTTTTTATAAATTTTATTAAAGAATTTTGTTAAATCTCTGTCAAATGTGTCTTACTGCATTATACCACAATCCTAGAAATCTGTCATTTTCTTGAGGATGCTACTTCATAAGGTCACTATATTTACCATACAAGTGGTAAAGCCAATAAAATGACCCTCTCTAGGGGAAAGACTCCTGTGGCTGAGCATCAAACAACAATTAGCAAAGTTAGTCCAGACCAGTGGTTCTCCACAGGGATTAGTATGACCTCTATCAAGGGACAGTGGCGTTTTCTGCACATACCTCTGATTGTCATCAGAGGTGCTGCAGGCATCTAGTCAAAGCCAGGTACAGTGCTACACAAGCTACGATGCACAGGACAGCCCCACAGCAAAGAATGATCTGGCCTGAAGTAGTGCTGCTGTTGAATTACAGGCTCTGGTATAGAAGTACAGCTCTATTTCTGCTGTACACAAGACTTTAAAAACTGAGTTGAAAATAGGTATAACATCAGAGCATCTTAATCCTCTGTTTTCAGAACTTTGTAAGTGGGATCATTTAACATTTGTCCTTTTAAATTTGGCTCATTTTGGGGCCTCCCTGGTGGCACAGAGGTTAAAGTCTCAGCGCTATCCAGCTATCACCAGCCACTTCCTCATGAGTTCCATCCCCGGCCAGGAAGCTAACCCACATGGCACAGCAGACCTCTCTTGTCTCTTTCTGCTCCCCTCAGCAGTGCATTTCAGTAGATCTGCCTGTGCTACTCACCACTCTGTCCCTGGTCAATCCTCTCACACACCCCGCCCCCCCCAACACCTGGCCAACACCACAGTTCTTCTATGCATAAATAAAAATCTTTTTAAAAAAAGTAAAATGTAGCGCTGGGGCGCCCCGAGGCTGCCGGCCCTGAGATGAGAAATGTTCCCTCAGAAGGGACGGTGTCATTTGAAGACGTGGCTGTGAACTTCACCTGGGAGGAGTAGCAGTGCCTGAGTGAAGCTCGGAGGACCCTGTACCGGGATGTGATGCTGGAGACCTGCAGTCACCTGGTGTCCCTAGGGCATTGTGTTCCCGATCCTGAGGAGAGCATCAGGTCGGAGCATGGAGTACAGCCGTGGTCTGTGGACGATCCCCCAAGCCAGGATCTCTCAGGTCACAACCTCAGGAGATTGTTTAAGCGTGATATGAAACCACTGCCATCCATGGAGGGCCTGGAAAGATCTTAGAATATTGTCATATGTCCTTGGGCAGCTTCTAGGAGCAAGGAAGGCAAACAGAGTGTATGCTGATGGGAGAAGAGACGGTGGTACTAGAAGACACTTACGAGCTAAGAAATATCTGGAGGATATGGAGAGATAAATCACTGCACCTTCCAAGATGATTCTGAACAACCACACAAACTATTCTTTAATGCCCAGAAATGTATGGCTTCTTCTACTTAATCCGTTTCTTCTATACAACGTGAAGAAAACAAGTGCAAAGGATAGACTAAGGTCATGGACTACAGGTGCTTTGCTGGTTTCTAAATTCCTGCTATGAGTGAGACCATCCAGTGTTTTTCGTCTTCTTTCTGGCTTATTTCGCTGAGCATGATCCCTTCCAGCTCCATCCATGTTGCTGCAAATGGCATGAGTTTATCTTTTTTGAATGCTGAGTGATATTCCATGGTGTATATGGACCACATCTTCTTGATCCAGTCATCTATTTTTGGGCATTTGGGTTGTTTCCAAAGCTTAGCTATTGTAAACAGTGCTGCTATAAACATAGGGGTGCAGGTGCCCTTTAGAATTAATGTATCTGTGTCCTTTGGGTAAATACCTAGGAGTGGAATTGCTGGATCCTATGGAAGCTCTATGTTTAGTAGGTCAAGAAATCTCCACACAGCTCTCCATAGTGGCTGGACCAGTTTGCACTTCCACCAGCAGTGCAGGAGAGTTCCTTTTTCTCCACACCCTCGCCAACATTTGTTGTTGGTAGTTTTTTTAATATGTGCCGTTCTCACTGGTGTAAGGTGGTATCTCATGGTAGTTTTGATTTGCATTTCCCTGATTGCAAGTGATGCTGAACATTTTTTCATATGCCTGTTGGCCATTTGCATTTCCTCTTTGGAGAAGTTCCTTTTTATCTCTTCTGCCCATTTTGTGACTGGATTATTTACTTTGTTTTTTTGAGTCTCTTCAGCTCGCTAAGAGCATTCATTATTCTATGAGGACATCAGAAGTCTGCATACTTAAATCTCTAGAAACTTCTAAATATTGATTTTACACGCGATCATCACCAAAGAAATCTTTCAGGATCAGTACAATCCTGATTACTTTCTGAACTGTGTAGGTTTTTCTTCTGATTCATCAATGAAAAATACTTTAGACTTGAAAAATCCCCATACTTTGCCCTCTCTTGTCACCGATGAAGACATGGAGGTGTTGCTGAAAGCCATCTTCCCTCAGCGCCCAGGGTCCCTAGGAGGAGACAAGGAGACAGTGATGATCACTGAGGGAAGGGCAGGGCAGGGCAGCCGTAGTCTCTTCTGACTTGCTGTAGAAGCAGCTGTCAGTAGTTCTCCTGAAGCCACCTAATAAAGGTTAAAGGCTCCATTTAACTAAGCCCCTGGCGGGGCCTCCAGGATGGCCTAGGGGTTAGTCTCAGCGCTCTCACCGCTGCGGCCTGAGTTCAAGCCCCGGCCACGGAGCTACCCGCCAGGAGCGCGGGAGTTAGCCCCCGGAAGGGGGCATAGAGCTAGAGCGAATGTGGAGCAGCAGAAGGTCTCTTCTCTCTGTGCCTGCTGCTCCACCATGCTCTGTGCTTCAGATCTTCCGGGCTCCTGCCCCGCCCTTCCACAAGTCTTCCCAATAAAAATCTGACACCTGGGGCGGGGGGGAAGTAAAATGAAGATAGAAGTCCAGGACATCTATATAGGAGACAGAAATAGAGAAACTGACAACAATATAAAAAATGTCAAATGAGGTACTAGAGGGTCAATGAAAGGCAGATAGGGAAACGCATAAATCTCAGGAAGGAGATCCAGTCACAAAGAATTCTTCACTAAAGAGAGGGCCCCTGAAATGCAGACAAACTTAGTGTATCTGTCCGCAGCCACTGCAGCACGAGTTCAATCCCAGGCCAAGCAGGTGACCCACACGGCTCAGCAGACCTCTCCTGACTTGCTTGCTGCTCCCCTCAGCAGTGTATTTCAGTCAATCTGCCTTTTCTGTTCCCCACTCAGTCTCTGGTGAATCCTCTCATCCCCAAACATCTGGCCTGTACCCCAGTTCTTTTATGCATAAATAAATCTTTAACAAAATAATGAGGAAACTGAGAAACATCTCAACTAGAAGAGGAAACCTATGAAAAATCATTATCCCAGAAGAAAAAGAAATAGGAGTAACCCTATTCAGAAAAATGAGAACTCCCCAAATCTACACAGTGAATTAAATATGAATCTTAGATGAAGAAAATTCTATACCCAGAGACATCGTCAAACTATCAAAAATCAGAGACAAAGAAAATATTTTGCAAAAAGAGATATAGTGACTTATAAGGGATCTCATATTAGGCTTTCTGTCAAACACTCTACAGGCAAGAAGAGTGAAAGGAAATATTCGGAAGCCTCAAGGGCAAGAATTGTTAGTCAAGAATTGTCTATCCTGCAAAATTAAGTATGAAGAGTTAATAAAGGCTTTCTCAGAAAAACAGAAGCTAATGAGATTCTTTAAATACTCTTCTAAAAAGAGTTCTACAAGAAAAGAAAAAGTGAAGCACAAACTCCTGAGCAAAACAAGAGAAACAGAATATTGGTACCAAGAGCAAGAATGCTGTGAGTTAATGAATATTAAGAGACAGGAAGAGATGGGTAGAGCCACTACAGTTAAATGTAGGAGAGCAGACGCCAGCTCATAGAGGACCAAAATCATAGGAATTCACATAAAACAATCACGGTATCCACTAACTGAAAAACCAGAATAGACACCCACAGAAAAGGAAGAAATAGAAATACTAAGGAAAGTCATCCAAAAAGAATAGAGAGAAACAGGGAAAAAACAAAAATGAAACAGTCAAAACCAAAATTGGAGCCTCCCTAGTGGTGCAAGCACTATGAAGAAATTCGCAGCCACTGCAGCAAGAGTTTGATCCCCCGCCAGGGAGGTGACCCACATTGCACAGCAGACCTCTCCTGTCTCACCGGCTGCTCCCCTCAGCAGTGCATTTCAGTCAGTCTACCTGTTCTGCTCCCCACTCTGTCTCTGGTGAATCCTCTCACCCCCCTCATCTCTGGCTTTTACCTCAGCTCTTGTATGCATAAATCTAAAAAAAAAAAAAAAGACTGAAAAGGAACAGTTCTTATTAATAATCACCCTAAATGTGAATGGTCTGAATTCACCAATGAAAAGACATCAACTAACAATGAGGATGAAAAAATTCTAGTCATCTATACTTTGTTCATAAGGGGCCCATTTAAAACCAAAAGATAGAGAGACTAAATAAAAGTAACAGACTGGAATAAGGTAAGAATGCAGAGTAAATCAGGAAATATTATTCTCATATCCAAGAAGGCAGACTTTCAACTAAAAGTAATCAAAGGCAAATATGAACACTATATAATCGAGGGACAACTCACCAGGAAGATAATAGCTCTTATTAATATTTCTGCTCCAAATATGGGCGCACATACTTACATAAAGCAACTATTAACAATATATCAACAAATACAATTGTTAGACTTTAAACATCACTGACACAAAGGGATAGATCATCCAGACAGAAAGTTAAGGAAATAAAGGTCTTAAAGTAAATAATTTTACAATTTTCTATCCTAAAAGCTTAAAGACACCTTTTTTTTTTAAAAAAAAAAAGATTTATTTATCCATGCATACAAGAACTGGGGTATTAGACCAGAGATGCAGGGGGTGAGAGGATTCACCAGAGACAGAGTGGGGAGCAGAACAGGCAGACTGACTGAAATGCACTGCTGAGGGGAGCAGCAGGCAAGACAGGAGAGGTCTGCTGCATTGTGTGGATTGCTCCCTGGCCGGCTGGGGATCGAACTCGTGCTGCAGAGGCTGCAGATTGCTTCACAGTGCGTGCTTAACCCCTTGTGGCACCAGGGAGACCCTGAAGACACTTTATTCTCTAGTGCACATGGATCATTTTTTTTTTTTTAAATAAAGTATTTTTTTTTTTTATAGAGGCATGTTATTTATTTGTTTGTTTGTTTGTTTGTTTGTTTATACATGCACTGGGTACAGTCAGAAGCGCGGGAGGGTGAGAGAATTCACCAGAGCCAGAGCGGGGAGCAGAGCAGGCAGAAGGACCGAAGTACACTGCTGAGGGGAGCAGCTGGCGGCAGGAGAGGTCTGCGCGCCATGGGGGACCCTCCTCGGGTGGCCGGGGATCAAACCGGCGCCGCAGAGGCTGCGGGCAGCTTTGCAACCCAGCGCTCAACCGCTGCGCCACCGGGGAGGCCCGCACATGGAACATTTTCAAGGAAGACCATATACTAGGACATAAAACGAGTCTCAATATATGAAAAAGGAAATTATATCATGCATCTTCACAGATCACAATGTGATAGTGCTAGAAATTAACCATAAAAGGAATCTTAGAATAAGCCAAAAGAGGTGGAGACAAAATACTTCTGAACAAATCTTTGGTTAATGAAGAAATCTAAGAAGAGATTAAAAAAAAACCTAGATACTAATGAAAATGGAGACAAGCTCCTGGACCATGTGGGATGCTTTAAAAGCAGTACTATGCAAAAATTCATAGTAATTCAGGCCCGCATAAGAAAAGACAAGAGTGATCTCAATTTAACCATCTAACCCCGCAATTAAACTAAAAAAAGAATAAAAGCACTGAAAAACCAGTAGAAGGCAAGAAATAAAAATAAGAGCAGAAATAAATGAAATAGAAAAAAAATAGTCTAAAATCCAAAAGATGAGCAAAACCAAGATTTGGTTCTTTTAAAAAATAAATGATACTGACAAGCCATAATCTATGCTTAAAAGAAAACCCAAATTAATAGAATCAAAAAGGTGAAATTACAACAGATACTTCAGAAATACACAGGATCATAAGTACATATTACAAATCTGTGCAAACAGTTTGAACAAGCTAGAAGAAATGGACAAATTCTTACATTCATAGAAACTCAATGAAATAGCTTAATCAGTTCAATTACAAGTCCTGAAATTAACAGTAATAAAAGGGGGCCTCCATTGTGGCGAGAGGAGTTACGATGCAGCACTTGGAAGCTGTCCACAACCACTGCAGCACGAGTTTGATCCCAGGCCAGGGAGGTGACCCACAAGGCGCAGCAGACCTCTCCTGTCTCGCCCGCTGCTCCCCTCAGCAGTGTATTTCAGTGGATCTGCCTGTACTGCTCCCCACTCTGTCTCTGGTGAATCCTCCCCCCCCCACACACCTCTGGCCTGTATCCCAGTTCTTGTATGCATAAATAAATCTTAAAAAAATTTTAGATCAAGACATAAGGAGATGGAAAGCCATCCCGCGCTCATGGATGGTGAGAATCAACGTAATCAAAATGACTATTGAGAGTCTTCAAAAAAATTGAGCAAAATATTGAAATTTACATGGAATCATAAAAGGCCTTAAATAGCAAAAAATAATCCTGAGAATAAAGGAGAGAAATGGACGCATCACGTTACCTGACTTTATACTATGAAGCAATGGTAATTAAATCAATGTGGTACTGGCATAAAAATA